ATATATTGGTATCATTCGTTGAAGAAAAAACTTTTCTTTTCTTAATATTCTGAAAAAAAAGAAAAGAAAACTGTCACTAACAGAAGACTTCCCTTTTCCTGGTATCCTCATTAGTCATTGAGTAACATTGTTAAATAGGACATAAACGGATACGAAGAAAGCATTGTGAAAATTAAGAAAGTTATTTTTTTCCTTTTCTCCTTTTCATCTGACTCTTCTTTTTCTTTTATTTTCACTGATTCATTAAAAAGGATTGGCTGGGATAGAAAATGAGATTCTTTTCTTTTTTCTTTTCATCATCAAAAGATAGCTATAGCATATGATGGGTCATTTGATTTTTTGGCAAATTCAAATTCCCCATGAACTGTACTAGATTAGACAATGACAATCATCTTTTAATTGTTCTTTTAGGCTTTATTTCAAAATAAAAATGTTTTTTTTTCCAAGATGAAACAGTTCTCGGCATACAACAATAACTATTATCTTTTGAATATGCGATGAGCCATCACCCATTCAGATCCATATTCTCGACGATCAAAAACCACTTTCCATTTATTTGTTTTTGAATCAAATAAATCCAATGTTGCCCAATAGAACTAAATAGAGAAACAAACGACAATGATAATGGAAAATAGAATCTGGTATTACCCGTGCATCATCATATAACACTCGTACATGATCGTTTGGATTAAACCGATGTTTATGTTCTTCACAACTGAAAATTAAAAAAAACTGAATTGCAGAGAAATTCAAATTAAAAAAGCCGTCTCATATCTGTTTCATTGAAAAAATAGTGAACAGTGTGCATACCTGGACCTGTTTAATATTTGACAATTTTTTTCGAAAACTATCTGTTATTTTTTATGTTCCGTTTCATTGAAGCTAACCAGAAGTTGCTGTTCTGCAATAAAATCCAATAAATTATAATTTTCATCGGTTATGTGGTGTTTTGCAAATTCCTTTATCTCGTCATTTAAATGAAAATTTGCATTCGATTGTTGTTTTACTCGTAGATATTTGACAAGTTCAACGGTTCTTAAACCGATTTGCTGAGCAACTTGGTTTATTGAATACGATAAGAACGTGTTTTGTTCGTCTAAATTTTCTTCATCGAAATTTTTATCATAAATATTGTCTAAGTAATTCAACGGCAAGTGAACTTTTCGAATTGATTCCTTGAGAATATCTCTTGGATTATTGAAAAGCTCACGAATAAGTAGACATCTATCACTTTCCATTTGTCGGTGTTTTAAAATATCCATTCCTTGGTTATAAACTTCAACAATTCTTTTTGTAAGAGTCGTTATCTGTTCCTAATGGTATAACAAAAGACACACAACGTGAAAATTCTCCAACAAAAAACTACACTTACTTTCATATTTTTAAAAATAAAAATAATTTTGGTAAATACACTATTAACCAATGTCATCAATGCAATAAATGACGTTTCAGTTTTACTTTTTGAATTATGTTTTGTAATTCTATCTTTGCATTCTTCTATTCCCGATTGCAAACGACGTCGTAAATCATTGATTTCATTATTTGTTTCTACATTCACAAATTTAAATTTAATATCATCATCCAGTTCCTTTATGAAACGATCTAATTCATCAATAGTTTTGTGGAACTCACATATATTTTCGAAGAAAATAGTGAGTGTAAGTTTTAAGTTCGAGGTTTTGCGGCTCCCCCCCCC